GGGCGGCGGGGCGGGCCCCACCCCCGCGGTGACGCGGACGCTCGCCTGGGCCAGCATCGAGCTCAAGAGGACTGGAGGAGTGGATCCAGTTGGTTCGGAGACAGCTCCGCGGAGCTACTGCCCACCACGTTCTTCTAGCGCTTCCCACGGCTCCTCCTCATTTGCCCGGAGCGCAGTGGCAGGCTCTGGGTTATTGAAAGAGATGGATGGTTGGATGGCGTTACCTGTGCACTTTCGTTTAAAGAAGCCTCCTGAGCCCCACTCCGAGAAGTTGGCTATTATGAGGGTCAGGGAGGAACAGGATTGGGTGAAGGAAGCCAAACACCTCTTGGACCTTGCCTGTAAAGTGTGATGAAATGGACTTAAAAGGTGTCCACCGGCCCAGTATGAACCCAAACCTCACCTTGGTGAAGTGCGCCTTCCACGTTAGCCTCACCCTTCACCATGGGATAGAATATTTTCAGGGTTACATATTGCTATCAGGAAGAAGGTTCTGACTGCCAGGGCTTCCAAACCCATTTGGGAATGTTCAACTAGTCCTGTTGTAGTTCTTCTCTGAGGAGTTAGGTTACCATGTTATCTTTTTGCAAGTGATGGAGGTTAAACCCAGGGCTTTGCTTGCTAATCAGTGGCTCTACCCATTTGAGCCATGACCCCAAGACTTTTCTTGTGTTATTTTTTAGCTAAGGTCTCTGTATTTGCCTGAAGTAGCCTCAGATGGAGATCCTCCTATTTGTAGCCTCATTTGTATATGAGATCTCAGGTACATACTGTTAGGTAAAGTAAGTAGCTGAGGAAAGAGAGCACCATGCGATATTCAGGCAGGAAGAGAAGTTTATTTTACTGAACTGGTGGAGAGGCATGGCCGAAGGGGCGGGCCCACGTCCCATCTGGGTTTAAATAGGGAAGGGGCAGGGAGAAGGGGCGGCCAGGGGAGGGGAGGTGTGGCCACACTGGATGCAGATGTGACCTCAGGGCCTGGGACCCTCCCCAGTCCCATGGGAGGTATAACTAGGGGTGGCCTAGGATGTGACCTTGGAGGAGAGAGTGACTGCCTCCAGGTGTGCCAGTAACCTAGGTGACATGGGTATTGGGTGGACACTTAGCCAAGAGGAGGGAGGAGTTTACCCTGCCTTTCCAGGGTGTACCTTACACATACCACTATGACCACCTTCTTGGGTTAATGAAGGGTTTCACAAGCTTTGTGTTATAGTTGGCCTCAAACTATTTGGCTTTCCAAGTAGCTGAGATGACAGGCATAAGCCAATACTCCTGGCCTTTTTTTTTTTTTTCAATCTTAAAGATCTTAAAATGTCCAGGGAGTATAGGGGATTGATTTTCCAAAGACTGGTTTTAGGCTAAGGAAGTAAGAGGGTCAAACCTTGGTCATGAGGTTGGATTAAAGGACTGAGAAGTGCATACTATACCTGTACTGATGTTTCTCTAGGTGGGGACAGGAACCAAATGGAAGGAATGGCCACCTCCTTCCATTTCAAGGTTTCCCATGGTCTGGCCCAGTCCAATCCCTTCCACAGTTTAACTAGTCCTGGATATCCTTGGCAGAAAATGTTCCTTGTTTGTCTCTCTAGTAGCTCCTGACCACTTCCTATCTACCTCCATATTCCCTGTCTACCTTCATCTCCACTGTTCCTACCATGGACAATTCCCCATGACTATTCCAACATGCCCCAATCTATTCTTCATCCCACCCACCTCCCCATCCTCTGCATCACTTGTCAAGATATCATAGGATAATCTGCTCTGTGACTGTCTCCACTCCCTAGACTGCCCTTCAAAGTGTCTATCTTATTTTATTCTTCATTGGCATACAGTCGTGACTCAACATGTATTATGATATTCATGTGTTGATCAGGACTCTGGTAGGAAACAGACTCCATATTCTAACTGGATACTGTAACAGTGACCAGGACTAAGCCTAGAAGGGTGGAGGTTCCCGGAATTCAAAGAGAAAACTGGAAAAAGCAGTCTGACAAGCCTTGTTTGGAAGGACACCACAAGAGGAAAAACTAGGGGAGGATAAATAGTACAAACTTACCTTCCTTTCTTCCCATCTGCTGCCAGGGGTCTCCCAATTGCTAAACAGAACTTCATCTGAAGCCAAAGAACCCTGCTGAAGCTTATACAGGTCAGCTCCCCAGGACACAGAATAACCTGTACCAGGCAAGCACAGGTCCATAGTAATACGTGCAAACTTTCACTGAATCTCCCAGTTGGTTTTTGTTTTTGATTTTGATTACTAAAACCTTTTCAGTTTTATTCCAGTTTTTCTCTAGGACCTTTAGCTAGTTATTCTATAATAAAATCATTATTCTTTTCCCTAAACTCTAACTTCTGTTTCCTTTCATGTCCTAACATCTTAGTCTGCTTTTGAGTTCTTTTTATTTTATTTATTTTTGTCGGTGGTGGGGCCTGAACTCTGGGCCTGGGCGCTGTCCCTCAGCTCTTCAGCTCAAGGCGAGCGCTCTACCACTTGAGCTACAGCGCCACTTCCGGTTTCCTAGTGGTTTATTGGAGACAGGAGTCTCAAGGTCTTTCCTGCCCGGTCTGGCTTTGAATCGCGATTCTCAGATCTCAGCCTCCTGAGTAGCTAGGATTACAGGCATGAGCCATCAGCGCCCGGCAAGTTCTTTTTATTTTTAAAGCAATATCTTACTTTATAGCCCAAGCTGACCTTAAACTCATAATCTTTCTCCTTCTGTCTGTTGAGTGCTGGTATTATACGTGTAAATCACTGTTCCTGGTCTTGAGTTGATTTTGGTTTACAGCAGCAACTGAGGAGAAACTCTGAGCTTCTAGGGTCCAAATACCTGAGGGCTGGTCAAATGTGATAGATGATGTTCAATTGTATTGAATATGCCAGCTACATAGAATGTCAACTTTAATATCTGAATATATCTTTGATTTCTTAAGTTTGATTTTCAAAAATCAAAACCTGTTACTTGGGAGAAACTATCAATAAATTTGCTGTGGCTTAGTGTTGATAACTTTTTTTTGGGGGGGGGGTCTGGGTCGTGGGGCCTGAACTCTGGGCCTTGGAACTGTTCCTCAGCTCTTCAGCTCAAGGCTAACGCTTTACCACTTGAGCCACAGCGCCACTTCTGGCTTTTTTCTTTTTGCTTATGCAGTGCTGAGGAATCGAACCCAGAGCCTCTGGCATGCAAGGCAAGTGCTCTACCACTGAGCCACCTTCCCAGCCCAGTGTTGATAACTTTTTAAAAACCACAATTGTTCAGTAATAGAAGTTTATCTCAGGAAATAGTAAGCATTTTGTCAAAAATACTTAATCAACCGGGCACCAGTGGTTCATCCCTGTACTCCTAGCTTTTCAGGAGGCTAAGATCTATGGATTATGGTTAGAAGCCACCCTTGGCAGGAAAGCCCATGAGATTTTTATCTCCAATTAACCAGCAAAAGTGGAGTTGCTTCTGTCAGAGATAACAAAAATCTGTGGCAATATGTAAAATTTTTTTTTTTTTAGCATCACAGCTTTTTAGGAAGGTCATCTTGTTCAGTCTCCTCCCATCCCATATACAAATGAGTCACATAACATTACAGGCTGCTTAGCATCTAGTTTAATTAAGTACTCTGTGTGTGTGTGTGTGTGTGTGTGTGTGTGTGTGTGTGTGTTGTACTCCTTGTATCAAGAGGGGCTTAGGTCAGGAGGACTGCTAGTTCCTGGCTAGCCTGATCTACATACTAAGACTCTGTCTGGAAAACAAAAAGAAAGAAAAAGAAGGAAGACACAGGGTAGAAATGGAAGACAGGGCCACCTACAGTGCCCTCTTTGTAGAGCATGGTTTTGGCAATGATGCATTCCCTTTTGTCATGTGACTGTCTAGCATCCTCTCTTCTACAGCCACACCTCTCAGAGAGGCATAGAAACATCATGTCCCCATACAGGTCCCAGCTTCCTTCAGTTGACTTTCTCAGTCTTCACCATTTTTGTAGGGGTCTCTTAAGTCTGGTTATACCTCTGAGAAGATTCTATTTATTAGGCCATCTTCAATTAAAACATTTGTGTGGCCCTCCTGCAGAATTCTGCCAAATACAAGTACAAAAAAATCCTCTTGCATAATACTACTTCCCTAGTCCCTAGTCCCCCCCTAGTTATCTATGCCTTGTCTTGTGATAGAGATTTAAGGTATTCCTTGAATGTCCACTTGAATTCAGGCTTGGTCTCTAATACGGCAATGTTCTAGATGGGCCTTGGGAAACTGATCTTATCAGTAGGTTAACCCATTGATGAGTTCATAATTGAATGGCCTATTGGATGATCAGGGGGACTATAATAGATAGAACCTATTTGGAGGAACTAGGCCACTGTGGGCATGTACCAGAAGGATGTATCTGTTCTCTCTCTCTCCCTCCCTCTCTCTCTCTCTTTCTCTCTCTCCTCTTTTCTGTTTCTCTTCCCTCCTCTCTTTCTCTTTTCCTCCTTCTATCTTTCCCTCCCTCCCTCGATCTCTCTCTTCCTCATTCTCTATCTCTTTCTCCTTCCTGGCCATCATGAGGTGAACAGCTTTATTCCACCAGCTGCTTCCCACTATGAAGCTCTATCTCCCAGAAACAATAGATCCATGTGATCATGGAATAAAACCTCTAAAAGCATGATACAAAATAAATCTCTCCTCTTTTAACTCTTTAGGTATTTTGTCACAATGACAGGAAGCTAACTAGCACACCTGCTTTAGAACATATTATGAATGGAGGAATACATAAGATAAGAAAAAATCAAAGCCTGAGGGAATAAGATAAAATCATATTTTCCATTCCTCTGTTATGCTAGATAAGAAATTTATGGATCAGAAAGTCATGCCAGGCTTGGAGTATAGGTCAATGACAGAGTACTTTCTTAGGGGCCAAGACCCTAGG